GGCACGAATCCGCTTTTCGGACAACAATCTTATAATTAACAGGAACACTACTGGTTTGTCCCATTTAATTTTTAGACTCTCTTATGCTGGCTACTGTAAAACACTGGAGATGGTTAACTGCATGTTGCTTCTGCTCAGACCATCACTTGCATTGCCTTTTTATACCTCTCATCCTCAAAATACATAAAATTTGAAATTCTGGCTTTACATCAGAAGGAATTGAGAGTTCAAACATCAGTTTTAAAACAGGGCTAGAAACCCAAAACCACAAGTCATTCTGTGGCACTACACAAGCGTGGGGAGATCACAATGGTACGCAGGTACAAAAATACAAAGTTTTCTTGAAACACTTTAAATTGTTTGTTCCTCATTATTAGTATTTCACTTGTGCCACGGCCTGTCTAAAAGCTGTAAGCAAAAGAAACTGCATTCAAACAGAAAACTGTTTTCTTACATTTTTTCCTCTATTGTAGAAAACATAATTCATTAAAAAGATGTGTTTCTTTTTTAAACAATTACGAGGCAAAGACCTGAGAATTAGTCTAGAGTGAAACTAACTGCTTAATTCACAGTCTATTTACTTTGCATGTTATCTACCAGGTGAGGTACATACTCAGATTTCCATACCTTCGGATTTGCAAGTCAAACTTCACAGAGGTATCCATTTCAGACTGCTGGTGCACACTGAAACGCAGGCCAGCTAATAGCTTTAGAAAAAAAATCACCGTGGTTCAGTGGAAACACAATGAAATACACAATAAAAGCTTCTTAATACTATTATACTGCAACAAAATTGCTTGAGGCTTGTGGTCATAAGAGAACACACACAGAGAACTGGCAAATAAAACTTGTCCAGTTCATCAAGACTGGAAATGTACCGCGCTCTCTGTAGATTTCAGCCGATGCATCACTGCCACAAAATAGAAATGTAAGGTTTACATTATGCTCACCCTCCTTGCTTCAGCCATTTTTACACATAACTGAGCCTCCCTATGTTAAAGTACTGTAGTCTAAAGAACAAGGCATGCTTTAATGATTCTAAATTCAGTTCCCCAGGTTTGTTCTAAGTCAGTGCATGACGGTTGCTTCAATATCTGCACAGTTCAGCTTGATATACTTTGAAAGACTTTGGAAATAGCATTTATTCATCTATATAAAATGTCTCTTGGAAGAAAAGCACCATCAAAGTGTTTATAATTGTGACTGATTTTCACTTTATTTCCTCAGAAAATAAGAGTTATTATGACATATCATCTTAGTATCTGCCAGGTCCCACTAGTAGTTTTTTGATTCGTCCAATTTCAGCTACATTTGGTGGAAGTGCAGAGGTCTCAACTAGACAAAACTCTCTCTCAAACTTCACAAAGCTAGGCAGAAGAGAGAAGCACTATTAGGTTTCCACTAAGAGAAAGGTGTGTTATGAGCTAGCTCTTTATTATATACTAAAAAATACGTATCAGATAAATCTAAAGACAAACTCATGAGGGACCAGAGTTCATTAATTCCACTGTTTAATGAACTACTCCTTTTGAGTTGCATCATAAAACTCATGAACACTCATTTCAGCCTTTAATTTAGCTGAAAAGCTGAAACCAATTACCACTGAACTAACCAAACATGTGGGCAGCTAAATGTCAGCTAGATCTAATCTTATATTCCTGTGAGTAAACATCCTGCCCAAACACTACTGTGATTAAGAAAAAATGCCAGCTGCACTCCTGTTTGAGATACCAGACACCTGTTGGACCAAACCTTACCTTAGTTCCTGCTTTCATGGGATTTCCCAGGTCACAAACTACCATGCGAGTTTGATTCTCTGTTTTAAATGCACATGACAGTCTTGCTAAAGCCTGCAATAAGCCAGAAAGAAATCTTAATGAATGTCATTCTTTACATCTGGACACCTGGATGAAAGTCTGGAAAAAAGTTCTAGATACACTGTGTTAATTTTAATATAATTTCTCAGTCCTTACACAGTCAAGCGTTAAAATTAAATAAAATCTGAGTATGAAAGTCTCTATGGAGACAAGTATTTTTGATATGAGGTAGATGCTCTTTCCAAGGTTATAAAAAGAGAAATTCAGTACTCTTATATTGGGTAGCACTGATGATGTTTCTGACCTAAAGCATTTCTCCACGTGATTCTTTAAAACCTATGTGAAGAAACTGTGGTAATCGCGCAAACTCTCCATAGGAAAATAAAGGTTTGAAGGCAAAATAACATGAATACTTACTAGCTTACTCAAAAAGAGGTCTTAGAGGAGCTATCAGATTTTGGATAAAGCCACTTCACAAAGCTCTAGAGTAGCAGAGGCAAACTGGAGAACCAAACCAAGGCATGGTCCAACATATATGAAGGATGTGGTATCAAAGTTGGAATCCTTTGATATAGGGGGAAAATAGTTTTTCCCTTAACATTCTGCAGCTTTACAGATATTGATTGATGATAGATTATACCAAATAAAAACAAGGACGAAGAAAATCTGAAAGTATATTACTTATATATAGCTATAATGGGCTAAAACAAAATTTGGACTATACCCATGTGTCTTCAAAGAAATAGAAGTTATACAGACATTTTATAATACAAGGGAAAGTCAGGAAATAAATTTTAATATTCTGTGTAGTCAGGATAACTGACACCCAAGACTTTTCTACATACTTAGGCGGAAGAGAATAGTAATACCCAACATCACTTTTTGCCTCGCAGGTGCCCAGCTCTTTACCTAGCACATGACATGCTAAGTCTAAATTTAAATAAATTAACAAGGGCACTGTTCAAATAAAGACTGGTAGCAGATAAACTCTGTGTGTCAAGCTCCATCACACAGATGATCCTCCTTTGTTGCTAGCAGTAGGCTCTTAAACTGGAACCATCCAGCCAGGTGTTATATATGCTTGGCTTGGAAGAACCTTATCATTTTTTCAGTGCTTTGCTTTAAGACTGAAGCATAAAAAACACCACTGATGGACCCTCTCCCACAGACTCCCATAGCAGCACCTGAAATACAACTACTCAAAGAAGAAAGATAGCTGGAATTTTACCTCGTCGTTACGAACAACACCGATGAAATCTGCTTGGGGCGGAACGATGACAAAGAGTTCTGCTTCATAGGCTCCTTCCCCTTGATTCTGAGCACTGACAATTAGTGTCAAGGGATTGTCATCACCAATATAGATCTGCTTCTGATCACTACAAAAAACAAGTGTAAAAATGAGCTCTGCATTCAGGTTTTAAAGTGTATTGAACTGGTTGAACTTGCAGAAACAAGAGACATTCTGAAATTGCACAAAGACGTTAGAGAAATCTAGAGGCAGTAGCTACGTTTCAGGAATATCAGGAGAGCTGTATGTTTAAAACAAAAACATGTCTATAATCACAAAAATGGAGCAAATGTTACATGCTGTTTTGTAAGAATCTTTTTTTATAAAATTTACAAAAAGAGTATCTTTCCAAACAATGTATTTTCATTTCACCAAGTACAAGGAAACCTAACTGTACCTGCACTGATATAAAATGTTTCTGAAGCGTTAGCATGAATTAGTATGTTTGTGAACTGTACTACCTACATACATGTGCATATGCTATAGCTCTGCACTAAGGGCATTAAAAAAACAGATTACATTTAAGTAAGAATGGCTAAGGCATACAAGCACAAAAAGCCCAGACTCATGAAAGAATTAGGAGTTAAAACTTGGGGTTTTTTTCCAGGTTTAATAAAAGATACTGCCAATACCAACAATTTTCGTATGTGTGACAACAGAGCCCTACTCCACCCCTTGCTGGATAAAATCACGCCTGTTCACATCTTCATGTGTCTATCTAGTATTAGGTAACAGAACAGTGGTACAATTGCAGCTAACACTGCTTTATGCCTGCTATGCACGTCCAGCTTCGCAAATATACAAATAAATACTGTGTACTTATAGTGGGGGCTGGGCTGGGTGGTGGTGTGTGCTCTCCCTGTATTACATGCTAAAGACATTAGGTTACAAAGCAGAAAATGGATTTTCCTTAAAAGAAATAAGCATGAGTTTAGACTGTATACATTGAGGAGTCCTACTTATTTCAATACATCCTATTAACAAAAGCATTACAAGCTCTTGAAGTTTAGAATTCAAGTAGGGAAGTTACTTTTCCCTGTAGAATTTTTCTCATGTATTTACCTTTCTACTGAAACCTCCAGCTTTGGTTTGCAGACATTATCATCACCACAATCCAGCAGAATATGTGCCTATGCAAAAATCAAATGCATATTGTTTTAATAATCCCTGCATCTGTTCTAACATACATTTCCAATAATACTGTTTCACGACCAAATAAAAAAATTTTCTAAATAGCTGGTTATGAGATATCTTCATCTCATTAGTCTCAGAAGAGGACAATTGAGTTTTATACACGGGGGGCACGGTGCTTCATCCGGCCACGCTGCAATTCTAGGACTAATGTCTCCATATCTTAATCCTCTTTCCATAACTTGAATCATCTGTTCATCTTGAGTTGCATCTCCATTATCCTCTTTACAAACAAGTGTAAAAATTTGTATAAAGGGCAGAAATAGAAAAACTATATTTATTACCTTAAGAGAACTACAGGGATAAACATAATATACATAGAGCAGCATAGTATGAGCAATGGATGAAACACTCCAATCCTTCAAGATTCACACCTTCAATACTACTCTAACTGCTTTTCTCCAGAAAAGTGTTAATTAGTATGTGTGAAAAGGAAGTCCAGCACTAAGGAATAATGTGTCCAAAAAAAAATTGATACAGAGAGAGAAGGAAAAAAAAAGAGAAGACAAACATAAAATAGCCATCAATATTTCCATAAGTCAAAGACTAAAGCGTAGATGTATATTTTGGTACTTAATTTTTCAGAAGTCCTAAGATGAACATAAGTATTGAATAAGTATTGAAAGCTGAAAATATGTTCTGGGTTCTCTCATCACAGATTGTGTAAGAAGTATACCTGTCTGCTCATATTAGCAGGAGTGAACTGGTTGAGGATAGGGTGCAGTCCTGTTGCATCTGCAGCTGTTCTGTAATCCAGACGATATTCCATAAAAATAGTAATGGGAGTTAGTTTGTCTCTAAATTCAGATTCATCCTAAGGAAACCAAAGATTTGAATTACAATTAAAACATGTGAAGAAAACAACAACAACAAAAAAAATCCTTTAAAAGTTGCTCTTGGGATGACTGTTTGTTGCCTATAGAAATACTGAGCAGTATTTTTATTTATTGTTCATGTTGTAGTAGGAATGAGGAAGTTAAAACAACATTAAAACTTCTGAGCTCTTTTCAAACTAGAAAAACTCTTGTCAGAAAACCTGCAGTGTAAACTTCAAAGATGGACAATTTCAGTAGTAACATGCCTGTTTTACAATTGGAAAACTGAAGCATACAGAAGTGTTAAGTCATAGAACTATAATAGCCTAAAGGAGCCTAAAGGGCTTCTTTCCTGTCAAAATTCAGTATGCTTCTAAGATCCCTCGTAGATACTCATCTTTGGACTTGTGATTTCTCCTTCTTAAAATTATTACTTTGCACTTGCTGACTTTCATATTGTTCCTTTCAAATCATTCTGTTTATCAACTATTGATCCTGCCTTTCAGAGTACTTACAAACCATCTCTTAGCTTTATGTTAGCCACAGATTTTATCAGTGTAAACTCTGCTTCATTATTCTCATTTCTGAGAATAATGAAAATTACTAAATCTAGAACAGCTCATTGCAGGATCTTACTTCAGAAGCTATCTTCTATGGGCGGAAACCTATTGATAACTCTTCTTACAGTTTTCAACAGGTTTTGCATCCAATTTAAGGTAATTTCATATAGGTCATGTGTCATTACTATCTTTATGAGAATGGCGTGTGGAAAAGTGTTAAAGCTTTACTAACACTGAGATCTGGCATGTCTATTTCCATATATATCCCACACACAAGGCCAGTCAAAGAGAGGTATTACCTATCCTCCATGAATCCTTAACGATTACTAGTATTTTTATTGGGTTTTTTTTTTTTTGGACAGAGGAGTAAGTATTGGTTATGTTTGATTTATAAGTGCTCAGAGATAAATCTGAGCTGCATCTAACTTACATAGCTACACTTTCACATCTTTCCTTATTGCAGCCAGTGTTTCTTCTACTGGGTTACACTTTTTAATTGTGTTAGCATCTGTCCACATTTGTGGGGACTAAAACAAAAAGACTGAGAAAAAGTAAACTTAATATTTCAACCTTCTCTGTCTCCTCTGTTATTTGCTGATCTTTGCTTTTTAGTTGCAGATCCGTATTTTTCTTTATTCTTTTACCTCCAAAGTAGAAGCACAACCTCTGCTTATTGACTTTCACATTCCTTGGAAATTATAACTAATTTTGTGTCTAGATGACTTGTCCAAGAAGTCCATTACAAAGTTCAGAATCGAATTTCCAATCCATTCAGTGACCAGGACCTTAGTCACAATAATATCCATTGTTCATCCTCTGACAGCAGTGATAACCCGGGAGACATAAGGTTTTAGTAATTTTAGGTCTATCCATTGGGCATGAAGTTTCTCTAGCATTTCTTTTTTCTATTTTTTTTTTTTAAAAACACCTAACACAAGGAATTTGTAATAGACAATGCACCAAAAATTATTTGCCTAAAACATAAACGGCTACTTACCCTCAAAAAGGCATCAAGTTCTTCACAATTCATTTTGCCCCCCTTTGTAATAGTCATGTTCTTAGAGTGGCTAGGCTGTTTGCTGTGGAGAAAAAGAGCTCTCCTTATAGCTCCTTTCTGCTTAAGTTTATCCAACAGCAGCTCCACTTGGAAATCTGTCCAATCCAAAGCGTTTAGGTTAGGGATATTTCATTCAATTAAACACAGTGCAGACTACCATCAGAAATGGAGCTGAAAGCTGATTTCAGCTACAATGAAAACCTAGTACTTGGAACTTTTAAAACTTTCAGTTCTTTCAATATAAAATCTGTTACTACATTAGTTCTCAATACAGTAACTAACAAGCACTATTGTTGTCCTAAATTAGACCCTGCTTTTTCCATGAAAACTGGAAACGTATAAGAGCACCGAAACATTTATAATTTATAATTGCTATAGAACTGCAAGAAGAAAAGTTAAATTTTTGTTTCCCCCAGAAAATTTTAAAGCAATCTTGCACATAACACTTATATTATTTAACTGTATTGGTAATCTAATTACTTCACATATTTGATATAGATAATGAAATTTAAAATATGTAACAACTATTTATGTGAATCTTCGCAGATCATACCACCTCTATACATGCCATACAGAAAATAAGGAAAAGTTTTTATAATCAGTAGACAAAACCTGATTGTAGCAGGTGCTCTGCCACACTACAAAATCACTTAGAGACATCTTAAAAACCTGTTTGAAACAATCTTTTCCTGATCCTGATCCAAAGAATCTGATGCAAAAATCAGTGATATCAATCAGAAGTTCATGATTTCAACAGAAATGTGAGAAGTCCCTTGTGGCTTGTCTATATTTTTTAGGCCTAACAATGCACTTGAATATTCTTGTCTAAAACTTCCCCTCAACGAGAGTTTATGTCAATTCTGTAAAATACAAAGGACTTTCCAAGACTAGTTCCACTGAGTAGTTAAATGTATGCTTAAAGTCCCAAGTATGCTCAAATCCCACTGACTTCAACACAACTTCAGCAAAAAAACTGCTGAAGATAGTCTTATAGATGCATGTGGTTACTGAACTGGTAGGATTGTGCTGTAAAGGGTAGCCAGCTGTTTCAGTAATGAAAAGGACGATGACGAGTGCTCATGTCTGCAAACAACATAAAAAGACTTTAAACTTTTTAAACTAGCAGAACTTACTGAGTGAATTAGGGAGCTTTCCTTTGCCATCCGCTTTTAAGCAGAACTTTACTTTGAAGCTGTTTTGGAGGAAAAGAAAAGATTAATTTCACACACTTTTTCTCTCATTTTCTTCTAAAATTCTTTACGGTTTCTCTCAGTTCAAAGGTATTCCCTTTTGAGACCCTAGCTCACTCCCAAAAGCTGTTTTCTACTTGTGGGAGAGAAACTATAACCTATTAATAAGTAGACTGCAATGCAAGCAATGCAAAGCTTTGGAATCTTAATTCAAGTAGGAATAGTCACCTGTGAACCAGAGTGTTTATTCCTGAAATCAAATGTGGCTCATTTATTTTTAAAGCTAGAAGGAACTGGCATACTGAGTTGAAAAGAAAGTTAGCACTAGAAAGGAAAAGTGGGTTTGGGTAATAGTCCAGGAACAAGAACCAAAACCAGTTTGCAGAGCAGATCATTTCCCAAGTGTTTTCCATAAGCTCACCTAAAAAGTACATTAATGGGTAAAAACATGGCAAAAGCTGTGTGATCCGTTAACATCTTGGGAAGATCTTAATCTACTCAACACAGACAACTGGCAATCTCTGCAGGTAGGATGTAACTTAGGAGCCAGTTTAGCGTCTGTTGAAGACAATGTTGGTCCTCCCACTGTTGTCAAAGAGTTCTTATTTTGTATTGTCTGTTCTTTCAGAAAAATCTGTGTTTGATTGCCTTTTTTTAACTAGCTGCCTAGACTTACTGAATCCTTTCAAAATTGAAAGCTTATGAAAACAAAAAATGAAAAAGTCCCTCCCCTCAAAGGAAAACAAAATACCCTGCTTACCAAGAAACTTTTACATCTGACAGTGAACAGGCTTTGTTTTCTGGGTTTAGAATAGTTGGATTAACTTCCAGGGCAGCATTCACTCTAATAACTGGTCTAGCCCTGCAAAGAAAACATCCTCTTGAACAGCATTCAACACCATATTAGACAATACCCTCCCCATCAAATTGTGAAATATATGCATACACACTTAGACAATATTTAGTGAAACTGCAAGAATAACAATCATTTAGTAGATTAGGGAAAAGCAGAAAGTTTTTCTGTGCCCTTTCATTACTATCAGAGTCAGAACATGGACAATTGTGTTAAGAGAAAGTCCTATCTATTTCTCGCACAGACAAGTAAGATATTTTCCCAAAATGAGCAGGTTTGGATGAGAATATTGGGATTGCACTGTAATAGCTAGCAGCACCATGTACATGTCAGAATCTAGAAAACTGTCACTCAGAAAGCCTTGAAGACAGCTTATTTGTATTTTCTCTTAATTATAGATTATTGAGAAAAATAAATAATAGATAGCAGACTGTAGATTTACTCAGTGAAAACAGCAGTATAACATTTTTTTATCTCCAGCAGTTTGGAAGGTGGAGTGGCAGAATTTCAGGCTTCCCTGATCCTGCTTTCTTTTGTAACTCAAGAATGCCGCTGAGCTTTCATTCTGTTTGTGCTTAAGTAAAAGCCTAGAGGGATACTTACCTATACAAAACAGCTGTGTCAACACCAAAGGCTCCAACAATCAAGTCTAGGAAGAAAGGAGAAATGATACACATTACAATTTATTTTTTAAAGTATGTTGTTAGTCAGAGCTGAGGCTACTATTAAGTTATGCTAAAGTGACATTTAGAGCAAAGGACCTGGATATCCATTTTTGTCCACATCTGTGGCTCCTTTCAGCGAGTACCCAAAACTGGGTGGCATAGTGCGAGCAGCCCACTGCCCTTCAAGAATTTGAGATGGGACTGCATTCAAACCATTTGCTTTTCCATTGTAGATATAGACAAGTCCTCTCTTGTCCTCTCCACCATATGGTGCAGCAACTGCAATATCTGTAAACCAAAAGAACAATTGTCAACGTCTCCAGACACAGACTAGGAGAATATATTTGTGCTTACATCGATCAATAATTTCTGATATTACAGTTTCAATGTGTCTCAGTAGGGAGGAAATGCAACCGGCCTTTAAAATGCTCACCAACCACCTTGTTTTTGTTTTTGTTTTTTTTTTAAATTGGATGCCAGTTTTTCTAGAAAATATAAATATTTAACAAGAACATATACCATAGACTTGGGGCGGGGGGGGCAAGGAGGGAAAGGAATAGTTCTGCAAACACTTCTGCACTTCAGTAACTGACTTACAGCCAAATCATATGGATTTGAAATGCTTTTGAGAATATTAAACACCCAGAATTAGTCACTGTTGGTGCCAAATCACAAAACTAAGTGGGACTATCTACCCATTTCATTAACACACTCATGTTCCTCCAAAGGGTGTGACATTTTAATAATTCTGGAAAATTTAGATCAGCCTAAAACAATGGTAAATATCAAATTCCAGTCTATCCTGATCATGGCTTGGCAATATGTTTTATGGAGAACTTTCAGTTAGTACAATTATGCAATCTCTTAAAGCTTAATAAATTTGAGAGTAGTCATTACCAGTGACTAATAAACAGTAATAAACAAAATGTTAATTGGACTATCTGTAAGGACAGCTTTAGAAGTGTACATATGATCTAAATTCAACATTTCTGCAGTAGGTTCAAAGACCAAACATGAAACACTACACAGAGTAATTACATTATTCCTTCCTCTTTCCTTAAATTTGAGAAAGTTTCATGAAAAGAACAAGGACTCAAAGGTTTACCATTTTGTATTTTTGACTCATTTTTACAAACTTTATGAAAACAATAGAAATTCCAATCTTGCACCATATTGTGATGGAAAGCATTTTAATTAACACTCCCAAAATGAAACAGAGCAGGGGGGGGCCGACACGACGACTAAAAAACCAGACTAAACAATGGCAAAGTAATTAAAAAGAGGCAGCTTTTGCTATGATTTTCTTACCTACAGTGTATTTCAGATTGAAATATGATGGAATCAAAACATTTTTTGGATAATCTCATCAAGTGACCAGGTTCTTGGCTATCAGCTGTAACCTTTCCAATGTCTTTTGTAAATAGGTGCAGTGATATTGCATCTTCACACTAATTCTGTATGCTATTAGCAACTAAAAAGGTCCCTTCCAACCCAAACTATTCTATGATTCTATGATTTTATTATTTCATTAAAAAAAAAAAAAAAACTTAGAGCTACCTGGGAATTTGAAATATTAGCCTGTTAAAATCTTTGATCTTTCAGAAAATACTTAGCTTGCAAGCAGAATGGAAAAAACAAAAACAAGCATCTTTTGTGGAACTCAAATTCCTACCACTCTTTAGGAAACACTGGAGTATGACTTCCAAAACAAAGTGTTCTCCCTAGGATTCCTGGAAGTCTCTGTCCCAAAACTTTAAGATTCTTGTCTGTTTCATTGCCTTCCATTCCTAAGAGAAAGTAACAAGAAGCACTGGCAATGGGTTTGAGTCCGCAGCTTCAGTTCTATCAGACTCAGACTTCTAATCCAAATCCTTGCTCAAGACACTCAGCTCTTGGTACAGCTGGCTGTAGTAGTTATGGGATATTTTCACCAGAATCTTCCATTTTGAAATTAAAAAAAAAAAAAAAAAATCTAGACTCCTCTCAGGGAAATCTCTTCTATCAGAATATTTTTAAACAGCTCTCTGAAACAAAACCTTCTTTTCAGTCATCGTGTTTCTGGAGAGGAAAATTCGCTTTAAGCAATGGAAACAGGAAAATTATATTGAAGATGTCCTAACAAGTCACAGTGGAGAGTCAGATATTTCATCGAAGTTTCTATTGTGCTTATCACTTAGAAAGTAATAAACTGATCAGTGTAACAGCTAAAATAATCCATGCTGTAGTTTAAATGGTATAGTCTCTGCTCGATGCATACATGTAACTCCTGTTAGCATTCTTGGGAGTAGCATACAAGCATCGAAAGGAGTCTAGACCTTCGTGTCCAACATTCAGTCATGGTTAGAATACCTAATGTTTGTGTGCAGAATCCACATTCAGTGTGCTGTCTAGATTTCATCTACGAACAGAAAATACTGATCAATAAATGATGTCCTACCATTGAAGCCATCCTGATCTAGATCCCCCAGAGGTGCAACAGAACTGCTGAATCTTGCAAATATCTCAAAACCATTCAGCTTTGTGATCTGAAACCCTCCAGAGGCTCGTTGAAGGCAAATGGAAACTTGGCCGACCTCTTGAAGTTTCCCATCAGAACCTCGATCCATAAAAAGAGGGGCTCCAATAAACAAATCTGTATAACTGGACCAAAGAAGGATAAGGTTCTTCAGTAACAGCATGAAAATTCAGTTTCATTTTCTTAAGCATCCATTATTAGGACTAACTCAGCACTGAAGTCAGTATTAAGATGAAAGTTACCTATCTTTAAATTGCAACTGAAGGCAAATATTTATTGACAAAGTAAGCACAAATATACCAAAATTTAATGCATTTAAAGCATGTGAATACACACGTTTGTTTATGTAAATACATACAAAAGCAAATCCACAATTGTTAAAACAAATGCTGAGTGCTAGCAAGAAAGTGTGTTGCACAGATACATGTTAAACCAGTAACAAAGACAGAAATCTATATTGTAGGAAAGACTTTTTAATAAAAGCTTCTTTTTTTCTTTGCAAAAACAAGTTGGGTGGCAGCGGGGAGAAGAGGGCACTTACTTGTCCCCATTGATATCTGTGGCAGCCACTGAATATCCAAAATAGGCAGCCATCTGGAAAACAAAATTCAAACCAAACTTGTGAGTTGTAGTGATATAAACACAAAAACAAGTTTATACAAAGCTGTATAGAAAAGGTGTTAGGGAGATGATAATATATGCCACAAAATTTTTTGTCTCCTTTCTCCTTATATTTTCCTTTCTCTTCCTTACTCTGTTAGAACGTAAACTGATTAGTTACCTTCCCCATTCCCCCTTTCATGACCCAGTCCTCTTTCCCAATTCTCAAAATAGGCAGCATTTCCTTCATTTAAATAAGATTATTTTTCTAAGTAGTACTAGAAAACGGGAACTCACAGAACATATATTTTTAGGATTCCTAAAGACTTTATAAAATTTTTCTTTGGCATGTAAGCTAATAACACACAGAATATTGTATGTTCTGAAAGATGACTGTCTCAACATGTCATCTTTCTATAGCAATAGCCTCCCAGTCACCCACCACACTCAATAAAGCTACATACCTGCTCTCCAGTGAAGTTGAACATGGAAGACATGTTTTTCCCATTGTAAATAGACACCTGCACATGAAGAAACACACATTACAGCATACCAACAATATTAATCCTTTTTATTTATTGTAAAGTTTAATGTTTCAAATTTCCTACCATGCCCAGAGTTCTTGCTGCTCTTGGGACTCCTGATACAAAGTCTGAAATATAAAGCAAGATACCCAGATAACATTCAGGTCCCAAAGCACAATGACTTTGCTTGAACAGAGTAGCTCATTCCTAGTGCTTTACGCATTTCCCTGTGCACTGTACCATTTGTTCTATACGATTTATTTGAAAGACCTGCCCAGCCTATTAACATGATTTTTGTACTGAAGCAAGGATCTTACCTTCTATGCCATCACCGTTGAAGTCTCCAACAGCCACTGAATAACCTGATCAACACAAAAAATTACTAAATCACTTTAAAAACCTTATTAAACCTTTCATCTCTTTATACTCTTCATAGGTCTCTATGCACAGTCCTCTCGCTTCATATTAAAACACATCGGAATAAATACTGCCTCTAAGTAGCTTAGACTATGAGCAACTACGTGAATAGACTGTAAATCATCAGCATCCATGAATTTGAGATCAGAAGATGAAAATTTTAAAATTATCATCCTGGGAACTGTCCTGGTCTATCCTTGCTTTTTTTATTAACCCAGTTAGACATACATGAAGCTAAATTATGATTTCCCACTCCTCTGCAGGAGACTCTTCATGATTTTTCTTCCCAAACATATTTCTTTAACATTTTTATTTTGTTTTGGTAGATTATTTAGAAACAGCTGCTTTTCTAAAAAAAACAAGTATGTGACTAACTTCTCACATAAAAATCATTCCTTGGCCATTCCCATATTTGGCCTGAATCACAGAGCACAAAAATTCATGGAAATATTTCCATTTATTTTGTCATCAGGTGCTTTTTGAATCAAGCCTATGGCAAGATAACTAAGCTTCCATCATACATAAATTACTGCATTTTCAGGCATGTAGCACTCTAGTCATCTGCCAAATGTTGAATCAATAGTTCTGTGATTTAGACTTAAATATGAATAGCACAATGGAGTTTTTCAAGTACAGCTAGGTTTTCTTCTTTTTCAAACTACGCACCCAAGTAGCTGTCATCAAAAGCAGCACTGGCAGGTCTGGTTGCTAACTGGTCATCATACTTTGTACTGTAGACTTTGGAGTCATATTTAGCCACAATCTCTGTCACTCGATCAGAAATAAGTTGGCCTAAAGAGAAAGAAAACAGCTTAAAACCACAAATAAAATATGTGTGCACTCATTCAATAAGCAACAGGACTCATTTACAGAATGCTTGCTTCTAAAGCAACAACTCTTCCACAATACCGACCAGAAAATAGCCAACAGCAGCAGCACTAGAAAGGATGCAAGTGAAAATCTGGATCCTACTTCAGCAAAGATTTATGCACATATTTAATCAAAAGCACACAAACAGTTCTCACTGAAAATAGAAACCGCTCCGACATGTAAGCCAGGACTTAAACAGGACTGCTTAGTTAGGTAACAGTAAGCATATGCTTATGGTATTGCAGAACTGAGTCATCACTCCTTGCCTATGTATCATAACATGAGAGCTTAATATGGCAGACAAGAAGTTAATAAGATGAGGATAGCGTATTACCGCCTTCTCTGTTTTCACTTCACTACCCACTAGGTGGTGACTTCATTACATCCTTTTCTTTGAGTTTCAATTAAATCTTGAATCACAAAAAACTTTTGTTCAGAAGAGCACTTACTTCACATACATATTCATACATGTATTGAAGTATAGGGAAAACTACTCCTCCAGCATCTCAGAATGTGGAATAAAAATTTGAGGTGAAAAATCTAGTTTTTAGAAGTATACTGTTGTCTTCTATTCAGAGCTGAGATTTGGTTTTTTGGTAGTAGTAGAAGAGAATAAGGTTGTTTCGACAGATGAGATGTCACTTTTGCCAAAAACCAATAAAATGAATACACAAACGTAATCTATATTATACTGTATCTGCAGTTTAGTTTCAATCATTCCATTTTGTTCAGAATTTGAAACATAGGATTGGAAACAAGCCTCCTGTGCTGATGCATCTGTACGTAAGCTGGCGTGATACAGAAAATCTTTCATACACATTAGTATTTACATTAAAAAACAGGCAGAGTTTGGCAGCTACGTCCTGATTGTAGCAGCACCATCTTTTGAACAGAGAGCTATAGCTAAATGCTGAATGATCTTGCAAACGAAAGACTGACTGAAGCCCACATTAGCAAAATACATAGGTAATGTTCTGTGTAAACAGCACAGAGGTAAAATGTGCATCATGGCACAAACATATCAATGTAAACAAATGCAATACATCTTTGCTGTCAAAGGAAAATAATGATAGTTCTCTTTGCATGGTACATTTCTCATTGAAAATCCATGCTTCGTTGTGTATCAGAAATTACAAAACATGTAGATTTTAAAACAACAAGCAAAATATCCTAAAGGAAACTTATCCTGCCGGTGGAAACAAATTCCACATTCCTGGGAAAATGCCTTTAAAACGATCATAGAGTTATTTAAAAGACAAAAGACACATCTATACAATTATTACTTCAGCTTTAACCTGTGGTTGCCTTGATTATTCAGGAAATATTTTGAAGGATGAAGAAAAAATTCTTTGTTAGTTTTCTTACTGACAAAGACTTTGACAGTGGTTGGAGAAGTGTGGATACAAATGACTAAGAGGATAAAGAGAAAAATCAAAGAGGTCAACTTCTCTGTGACTTAAATGATGTATCTCACCTTGCCAGTAAAAACTTCCAGGTCCTCCAAGTAGCACTCTGTCTCCCTGGGAGGGAAGGAGGAAGAAAGAAGAAAAAACTCATTAAGCCTATCTAAAGTCAAGAGAACATGTCCTATGTTTATGGGAAGTAATCCCATACATGTATATCACTGTAGCTTCACTGACCCCACTACATTTTATTTTTTGAAGGAATGATTAATTAAAAATGCATCTCATAAAATGCTAAGATAACAAACGATATGCCTTCAGTGACTTGCTTCTCTATTTCATCCATTTAAAATTCTAGGCAGAATTCTGCTTTTTATCGTAATAGACCCTTCTACCCACATAAATCTAAGACAACAGAAATACAATTGGGAGAAAACTTCAAGACTGCTACAAGGCAATCATAACATGTTTTTAGATCAGTACACAAAACTAGTTTCATCTTCTGTCCCTGCCACTTTCTGTAACTTATCTTTAGAAAAGTTTAATTCAGAAAAGCTGTGATGTAATTCCCCCACTCCATATTCCTTGGTACAACTGCAATCCACAAACCATTTTATGAAATTTTAACCACATTAGCTATCCCAGTGCTGGGAATCTGCTCTGTAAGTACTGACCCAGTGCTGGGAATTTGCCCTGTGAGTACTGAATCGGGCCATAGGCTTTGCTGCATAATTAAGCCACTTATTCAGGTTTTAATCTTAAAAACTCCCATATTCACCACTCAGAAAAATCTAGGTCAGAGATTTGGAGATACCTTATACCCGCGCTTGCCCACTCAGCTAGGGTTTTGGATTAGAGCCCAAGGTTGGTTTTAACTGGAACTAGGCACAGTAAGCCTGAGGGGTGCATGCAAAAAACCACTTACAGTCCTATACTGCACTTTGCACAGTTTCCTCTGGAGTTAAAACAAGAGTGTCCTCGGGCAAAGAGCGAAGGGATATGACCCAATCATAAGGTGTGAAGAACCCAAAAAATTGCCACATCACAAATAGGACTTGCGTGGTCTTAACAATGTCCAGGCTATGCTAAACAATGTAACTGTACAATATAAAAAAGCTACAGTTAATTCTTAGATTTGTGCGCAGTTCTATTGTGCTTGGATTTAAAAAGTAATTGTGAATTAAAAAAAAACCACGAACGATAAAAGGCAGGGAGAATATAAAAGTAGAAGAAACATAAGACAGACAGCAAAAAAAGAAAAAGTCTGCTTCTGCTAGCTGATGAGAAAAATAAAACATAATTCACAAGAACATTGTTTACCAGTTCCCTTTAGCAGTAAGTTATTCTTCCTCAAGAACTAACACTAGCTATGCACCGATCCCTTCAAAATAAGTGTCTCAAAAAATCTGACTACTACAGTTTATTTCACTTGAGGACTAGCTGCAGCAGCAGTTTATGGCATGAGGCTGCAAAGGCAGATTATTTGTTTAGGACATGATTTCTACAAGAAGTGAACGCGTGCTGCTGTGAAGATGTAGGGAGAAACAGGTTTATAATACTGGAATAGTTTGAAGTTATTTTTGTTTATTTACAAGGATGTGTTTGGTTGTGGTTTTCTCCCCCCAGGAACGGTAGTTTACATTTAGTTTCATAATAGCTGTGCTTGTATGTGGTCTGTATCAGGGTTATTGTTAACTTGCAACTGTCTGCTGACTTGAAAAAGAATCACATACCTTTGTAAAGTCAATACTAAATCCACCTTGACAAAATCCCTGTCCATCTGCATCGATAGTGGCTACAAAAAAAGAATGGATAGAAAAGAGAAAAAAAATAAGTAAAATAAATATTATTAGTACTAGATGAGATGATTCTGTGAATACTTTCCAATGCATCTTCCCAAGTAACCTTGCACTCCTGAACTTGAACCTTGTAATTTTTTTTTTCCTAAATCACTGTTTTCTCTTTATCAACAACTCACAGCCAAAAAGTAACAACTTTAGGGCTGGCCTAACATAAATATAACATTAACATATGTTCTAGCCTAACAGAGTCAAAGTAAACAGCAACTCCATGTTCCTTTGTATTTAATCTTTAAAAGTTTTGGGGAAAAATATTTGCAATTTTTATTCAGGAAATAAGGTATCTGGAAAATAGGGAATAAGTTTTTCTTTTGGTATGGAATAAAAATCTGAAAGGTACATAACCGTATGTTGTTTCAAGTATTAGCTTAAAACCAACAAAAAAAAAGCATACCTGGCTGAAAACCTCTCTGCATACTGAGACTCATCCCAGCAAGAATTGTTATAGCTGAGTTAATTTTACAATTATAGAGCTCCAGAGTAGAAATGTTGAGACCCCCTTATCTGGAAGTGTGACCTACTTAACTAGCATGATTTAGTTTAATATATGCTTATTTAACTTCCTTTTATGTTGGGCCACACTTGCTGTCACCAATGATTTTCAGCAAATAAAAAAAATATCCTAGCTTGAACGTTCAACTTTTAGACTTCTGTATTTTAAAAAAGGTTATAAGCGTCTGAATAAACTAGCAACTCAACTACATGATATGAATGCAATGCGTTTGGTAAATAAGACTCAAAATGTTCAACAATGAATATAATTAAAACAATGCATCATTACATATGTATGCATACATGGAAATCAGAACCTACTTGTGCAAAACCTTGCCTTCTAAAATGAGCTTTCTCTTTAAATTACTTGAATAACAATAACTAAGCTTCAGAAAATTCTAGAGTTGGTCTTTGAAAAAGCACTTGCTACGTAATTTTGCTCGAGTGATTACTACAGAAGAGGTCCTTTCAAAAACTGAAGTCCTCAATTCCAATGATACTTGGATCTAAGATTTTCCTCTGGCCTACAGTAGAGAAAGCAAGGTCTGCATCCTGAACATCAACTGGAGGAGAATTCAGATGTCTGGATCCAGCTTTTTTGCTAATTGCTATGAGGCTGTACATGGAAGGGGGAAAAAACCTGTACAACATCCCGCTTCAAATGTACATGAAATACAAAACAAGAGAAATTCCAAACAGAAAAGCAGCAGAAGTGCTCTACACTTACTTGACCTGCAGGGTGCATATTCCACAGATTTAGATCCAGAAAGCAGGTAACAAGTTCCTACAGGCTCTCGCTCTTGTTTTGTTTCAGTTCTCCAGTGGTACAACGGGGCACAGGCCTAAGAAAGAACACATGGCAGTGAGGAAACAAACTCCTCTTCAAAATGCTGGGGGGTATAGAAAGATACAATGGAATTCCAATTTTCTACAGAATAGCAACCAAAACAATTTTGGCAGATGTACCATGTGTTATTAGAGGAGATTTATACTATCAGCGCTGGGGCAGAAGTATCACCAGTTTGTATTTTTAGAAATAGCTGATTTATCGCAAGAATTTTAGAAATAGTATTTTCTTAAAGCAACAGTTGTAAAGAGTTCATCAAGAATTTAACACATTCTAACTTCAGCAAACTAATTCTACTACTTTCCTCAAAAGAAGACAAAAATGCTACAACCTTTGTTTACAAAGAGTTAAGAAAATAAATTCTGAAAAAGACAAGTCATGCTGATTAGTGGGATTTTGTTTAAATTCCAAGTTATCCAGATCTTTTCACATTTTTTCCAGTACAATATCCCAGTACTGAGGCATTTGAAGGGCATCAAAAACCTACCAGAATTTTGTCATTTTTGGATCTCACAGAGGCTCCAAACCACTGATGAGACTTAAATTCCAGCGGATCATCAGGAGCAAAATCTCTGTTGCCTACAAAGAAAATGAAAACAAAGCATAATTTCACAGTAAACTGTACAGTAAGAACAAAAAAAAAAAGCTAAGTCATTGGTTTTGATGCATACAGAGAAAAGCAGAAAACAGTAACATTGGAGGATATCACCCTTTCATGGAAATAGGCTTTTAAAAGGATTTATTATTCATTTTTACATCTAGGGCCAAATGCAGCTATTTTTACATACGAAGCATTAGTACAATACTGATTTGTTGTAAGACCGCAAAGTTTATAGCATCTTTGATGGCGACACAGTAAATACCTCATAACTTGAGATATTTGACTTTCAAATTAGATTACAGCACTGCTCAAGAATCAGTGCCAAAGCCAAGTTAGGACTAATGCTTCTAGAAGAAATATTGCCCTGATTAAATTATGTGAGTTTTGCCTTTGGCTAGAATCAGGACAGAAGTTCTTCTAATATTCCACCAAGTATTAACATCTCTATTCTGAATGTCACTGTAGTGTACAAAGCATGGAAACTAGCACGCTTACAAAATACAAGTAAAGTGAAAGGGTATTTAGTAACAAAAATGTTAGAGAGTTTTCCATACAGAAGAGTAAGTCAAATAAGGGATAATTTGCACTGGTGTCTGTATGTTAACTGTTCAGTGATGAAGGCTGGTAGAAGTAACTTAACAAGTGGTATTTCTGCAAGTGTGAATCTTAAGTCTTTAAATCATTTAATGTTTCTTATGTACTTTCATTGGAACAACACCGGAAACTTTGCCAGCCTAGTAAGAAAAAGGATGCAACACTCTGGAAAACATATCTTTTAAAAAAGTCACCTAAATCACTGGTTTACAGTGCCTAAAGCTAGGGAGTCAATGAGGTCAACAGCCATACATCACTTCCACAGACTGCTGGGGGGGAATCCCCAAACCCAACCCCACTATGAATCAGAGACCTGTGACCACTTGAATCAAAACTTCCTTGCTTGTCTTACACCTTGTAAAGAATGTTTTGTCTCAAGAGATTGTGTTACTTCCATTAGGAAAATCTCATGAAAAGGACAACAAAAGCAATTCTAACCTGCAGTGAGCCACAACAAGCAAGATTAGAACTATGTAGAAATAAATGCCAAGTGCATAGCATCACAGAGAACTATTGTGTTTTTTCTAATTTCATCAAAGGTAAATAAAAAAAACCACAACACTTCCTTCTGTCACCCCCTCCTCCATTATTGAACAGGTGCTAAACACATGGAGGGCCTGATGATTAAGCACATCTGCACAGATTTATGTACACTTGAACATTTATACTGTCACCCTTGCACAGACAGAAATGTAGTTTGCAGACCTGCATGTCATCTTCTCACAGAACAGAAAACCAAAACCAGATCAAGATGTTTTCCAAATAGGGAACTGTCTTTAGCACACTTCTAAAATGCCTGTTTTATCATCTTTTCCCTTACTTGGCTTTAATTCATGAAAATCCACCCAAGGACAGTTTTGCTCAAAGGATGCAGTTGCATGACTGAGTTAGCTTCAGATGAAGCTGACACCAAAAGGGGTAGGAGTTCCCATTTGCCGTTGTCCATATGTTCCTGTTGCCAGTGTCTGTCTTGGCACTACTACTTTCTGGTCACATAGTCAAAATATGAACCACCTAAGAATGAAACCTACTAAAAAAAATACTGAACTGGATCAGGGACTAACCCAGCTGACTGCATGGGGATGGAAGTAGTGCTAACCTGCTGGGGAGAAGACAAGAAACACATGGCTGGGAACTATATCCTTTTTGGCAGCATCAGGGACTTAAAATTGGTTTACTCTGCTTGTAACCACACCCAAAGTTACACAGGCTAGAAAGACAGACTTGGCTTTTACCCTGTATTTGTCCAGCTACTCTCAAATACAAAGAAATGTCAGTTTTACTTGCCAAACAAAGTTTTAAACAATGTAAAACTTGAGAATAGTTACGGCATGGCATTTTACACCTTTCTCTACTGCTGGATACTTAGAATGGATACTTAGAATAGAATTATAGAATCGTTAAGGTTGGAAAAGACCTCTAAGATCATCAAGTCCAACCGTCAACCCAACACTACCATGCCCACTAAACCATGTCCCTAAGCGCCTCATCTACACGTCTTTTAAATACTTCCAGGGATGGTGACTCTACCACTTCCCTGGGCAGCCTGTTCCAAGGCCTGACCATTCTTCCAGCAAAGAAATTCTTCCTAATGTCCAGTCTAAACCTCCTTTGGTGCAACTTGAGGCCATTTCTTCTCATCCTAATGCTAGTTACTTAGAAGAAAAGACTTATAAATACTTATACAAAGCTATATATCTATGACTAACATGAAAGGTAGTATAGCAGTTTTATAGTGCAAAGCAAAATCCTATTGTGCTAGGTACTATAAAAGTGTCTAGGATGTAAACTTCACATTTAAGTTTAAAACAATAGGCAGCAAGCAGAATGAATGGATGAATGGTCTTGTTACAATAATAGATAAACAGCCATTCAGCATTATCAGCAATCTGATTTTATCACAGGTGTTAAGGAAATTAGTTCCTTCAAGTTTCAGCTGAATGCATCAGCTGAAACAGCATAAAGCAATTAAAAAAATAATTAAAAAAAAGACAGATTACTGGTGCCATCTAACTATAGTCTATGTTGATTGCACCGGAGAAGAGGGGAACCAGTAGTTTAACCAGCACGTGCTGCCAAAACAGCCCTCTGCCTTTTCCCTGTGCATTCTTGAGCTGCAGGCACTGCCTCCACCCAAGGAAGAAATTAACATCCAGGATGGCAGCTACAAAAACTTCTCTCTCCCTCAGTCTTTAGGAGACAAAATTATTTTTTCTACAGTACTGAGAAAGCCCTGATTTGGCTCTAAATTGAGGATAATATTGGAAACCTCTCTTCAATTTTATTTTAACAGGTAAACATCTAGGCTTTGAGATATAGTCAGAAGCTGGCACATAAAAAACTAAAATCTCCGAATCAGAAAGCAAATGAACATGACCCCAAGTTTATTATGTTCCAAATATCATGACTTCAGAAGCCCGCATCATAATTTCTGAAGGCCTAAATAACAAATTAGGAATTCTTATGCATAAAAAAAAAACCCACCACATAGTAAAATGCGCTCCATTAGGCAATTTGGCTAAATACATTTTATTAATTTATAATACACTACTATCGCAAAAATATTTTACAAACATCTTAGCCAAATTTTCTAATGTCAGTGCAGATGCAGATAACACAAAACAACATCTGCTACAAGGTTAAGATGCCTTACGTTGAGTTTATCCCGTATTCAAAGCTTCATTAGGTTCTCTAAAACTAATGGGGCGGGGGGGGAGGGTCTTGGGGAGAAGGGGTTGCTGTTCAGCTTGAGACTGGCTGTAACACAGGAAAGTGCATTAAGATACAAAAACTAGATCAAGTAGAAAGTACGTACATTGGAAACATGGACTTTTTGAATAAAAAACTGCAAACATTAAATACAGTTCAAATCTGACGTTAACTTTCTATTAAAGAAGAAAAGTAACCGTTATTTACCCACCCCCATTCAAAATTCTCCCCAGGAAAACGCTGTGTAAATAGATTAGGAGCCTTTCCCTCGGGTCCAGAAGAGAAACTAATCTTAAGAGGAAATCTGGAAAACACCCTGTCATCAAAAATCCCTTTGCTTTAAATGAGAAACCAACAGTATTTCTGTTCCTGACTGGGGAAAACAAACATAAAGAACACTTAAATATGAGCCCTCACTAAAGCAAATCAGAGTTAAATAAGGTGTTTTAGCTGTACTATAAAGTAGATTTGTCATGGGAAAAATGTAGCACCGACTTCAGCATTTCTGTGTTTCAGTATAAAGACCCCGACTTTATTATTATTTTATCATGGTGTAACTTTTCAGTGGTAGTTATTAAAAAAAAAAAACCACAAAAAAAAACAAAACAAAAAACCCCCAAAAAACAACACCAAAACAAAACCAAAAAACCAAAAGCCTTCCCCCATACCCTTTAAAAACAGTACCTACATTAAAGGAAGCAAATTGTAATACAGGTAGGATTTAAACATACAGTGATTTATAAATACAGACCAACTTTTTTATGTAGTACAGTCAGCCTTACCACTATAACGATTCTTATAGCCACTGCTGTTTTTCTTGTATTTCTAAATTATTTTCAATTTAGAATGTCTCAAGAATACCTTAGAAATGTCTTCAAGCCATTGACGTACATTTTAAACAGGCATTCAAACAAACATACCTAGGCAATACAAAGTATGTTCTGACTAGATTTATTCCAGAAAATGTCCAGAGTTTTTACATAATGCTATTTGTCAGACTAAAATGCAGACGCTTCAAGGACTTCTACTTGATGGGTCATTAATTCCAGGATTATGTCATTTGACCATGAGTCTTATTTTGTATCTGTAAAGGCAGCTTATGCCATGGTTTTTCCTTTGCTCTTTCTCATTGTAGTAGACATCACATGACGATTTTACATAACTCTTTCATTAGGGAAAAAGGGCTGACATGCCAACTCAACAGTGCTTTGTCTCACAAAGTACTTTCCAGGTGGGGTGATGGCAGGAACAGAATTGCTTTAAAAATCCATTATATAGGTGTGTTGCTGATGCTGGACCAATGGAACATTGTCACTTTACTGTGCTACGTCAGATTTTAAATTTATAAATGGAAACTATTGTGGAGGGATGCTGAGTAGAAATTGCAGAAAAAGGAAAAAAAACCAGTCTAAGCCATCTTCCAAATAACAACAAAAAGATCAAAAGTTCTTTCAGTGCTGAATTTCTTTTGGCTATCAGCTTTGGATAGTTGGCACCTTCTTTTTCCAATGTAAACGTTATCAGTTACAGAAACAATGGTGTTACTACAAGATGATTGCAGTTGAGTAAGTGGAACGAGTTGTAACTTGTAGCCCGCCTGTTTGCATGGTAATGAGAAAACTGAACTAAAACATTTTCCCCTGATCTTGAGTGCCAGACTTAACTGAGGTAATCA